CTCTTCCTCTTGTAGACACTAGTCCTATTAGATTATGGCCTCTGTTTAACCTTAATTACCTCCTTAAATAGTCTCTGTCTCCAGATACAGTCACATTTGTGGTTAGGGCTTCAACACATGAATTGGCGGGGCTAGGGAGGAGCAACACAGTGTTGTCCATAACAATTAAGAAAAGTGCTTTGCTTAATTAGTAGTAAAAATAAGGTAGCCTTGTGTCTCAGCTGATTACTAATTCTCCCTGGGAAGAGGTTTCAGAAAAAGCTGCATCTGAGAAAGTGATGTTTTATTTACTGTTGCTACATCACAAATCATCCTAAAACTTAGTAGCTTAAAACAGTCATTTTATTTTATTATCTCATGAATCTGAGATTTGATTGTGCTCAGCCAAGCAGTTCTCACTTGGGGCCTTGTGCAGTTTTGGTCAGATGATGGCTGGGACTGGAATCACCTTAAAGGTTGATTGTGGTTGTCAGCTGCAACCTCAGCTGGGATTTTTGCCTTGAACACTGGAAGGTGTTCTACGTCAGTGGTCCCCAACCTTTTTGGCACCAGGGACCAGTGCTCCTGATAATCTGAGGTGGAGCTGAGGTGCTGATGCTAGTGCTAGCGAGCGGCTGCAAATACAGATGAAGCTTTGCTTGCTGGCCCACCACTTACCTCCTGCTGTGCAGCCCAGGGGCAGGGGACCCTGTTCTACATAGCTGTTAAGCTTTCTCACAGTAAGGTGGCTAGGTTAGGAGACAGAATGCCCCAAGAGGACCAGGCAGAAGCCTTAATGCCTTGCCTTTTATGACCTAACCTTAGAAGCACATAGTGTCACTTCTACCACAGTCACAGGTCCAACTGGTTTTAAGGGGAACCAACAACACATATTGATAGGAGGAGTATCAGCGTCACATTGTAAAAAAGAACATGTGTGATGGGACATCCTGTTGTGGCCATCTTAGAAAACATATTCTGTTATAGTGACTTGCATGGGATAGGCCTTGGAGAAGAAATGAAATTTCTCCACGTGAAGGTGAGGGAATAAATTTACCTAGGCAGAGAGAACCAAATGTGAAAAAGTACATAGTTTGAGAACAGCAAGTTGGCCCTGCGTTTAGGGCAAGGACCTTGTGGTAGAGAGATGTCAAGAAATGATATCAAGAAGGGCCTTTAATATCAGAGTACGTGATAGGTTTATAAGCTGATCAGTGATGCAGTTTCTAAACTGTTATACATCATTTTTGTGGGTAACAGACATCCATTGGTAACCTTTCTCATTACCTAAAAGGATTTTTAGCCTAAAGATGGGGGTGGGGTTCGGGGGGATGTGCCAGGGATAGGTGGGAGAAGGTGCAGTAGTTGTGTCAGAATCTCATTTGGGGTATGTGTGTGTGTTGCAGTTTGACTTCTCAGGAGAAACACATACACATATATTTACTCACACTCGCTCACAACACACAATTTAATGTCATTCATAAGGAGGAAAGTATTGAGACACTAACACTAGTTAAGAGACCATTGTAGGGTCTGGGTAAAGGGAGAAAAGAGCCTTTTCTTGTGTGGCAATGGTGCTAAACATGTGAGATTTAATAGGTCGGATGTGCTAGAGAAAAAAAAAAAAGGCTGTCAAAAATGACAGATTTTTAGTATTTGGGATCTTATAACAATCTGTAGGCAGATACAGACATTGTCATCCAGTTTTCACAGATGAGTAAACTGAGGCATAGGAATATTGCTGTGTCAGAGATCACAGAGCAAGGGCCAGGGGCACAATTTAAACCTGTTCCTGGCTCCTTTTCTTGCCACTTTGTTGCCATTAGGAGAGATTAAGAAAAAGGAAGGAGTTTGATTTCAGAGGAGGGGAAATGTGCGTGCTGTGGGATTTCGGATGAAGCTGAGCCACAGGTGCTGACTACCAAAGTCTGGAGTTCAGGAGCATATTGAGGAGCAGGGTTGCAGATTTTGGAGACACCAGCACTTAAATCGAAGCCAGAAACTGGATAGTATCACCCAGGAAGAGAACAAGAGGGAAGGTAAATGGCAAGGGTGGAATTTGGGAAGTACGGGCATGTAAGGGGCTGGTGGAGAGGGACCAGAGAAATAAAGGATAAGAGAGATTTCAAGAAGATGGTCAGTGGCGGGCCCACTACCACATCTTTCTAGAACATGTCCCACCCACCCCCTGCTTCAAAATTGGACCCTGATGCCTAAGACTCACTGGGTGAATGATGGACCCCTCATCCTAGTATTTGTTCCCCCATACCTGGCTTAACCCCGACCTTTGAAACCTATCTTGCTCTTCTCCCCTCTTCAAACACTCCATTCTCACTAAATCAACATTCTTATGGTGTCCAAACACGAGGTTAATCCCTTCGTTTACATCTTTGCTTGTGTGTGGGCTTCAGTATCAGATCAACCTGAGTTTGAATTTGGCTACTCCAGTCGTGACCTTTGGAATGTTCGTTAACCCCCAGCTTCACTTTTCTCAGCTGAAAGCAGTGATGACTACTTCTCTGTGTTCTGACATTTTGCATATTGGTGTGATCTATCTGTAAATGCCTGCCTTGTTTCTCCAGAGTACTGTTGGGGTTCAGCCCAGGGACCACTGCCCCTACCTTTTTGGGTTTCTCTTATCTGCAGTTCTGTATTTTGTAGTGATTAGCTCTTGTAACATCTCAGGTATAGTGTTACAGCTAAAAAGAACCTTAGGAAACATTTTACAGATGATGAAACAGAAGGGAGGTGATAAAAACCACCGTCCCTGCCTTTACGGAACTTACAGTCTAGAAGGGGGAACTGTGTACCCCACCCCCACCCCAAACCCTACTCCATCCGGCAGTTTCTCTGCTCACCTTTTCGGCCTCTTGTCGGAGCATTCAGCATCTGTTGCCTTGCTTTGTTTTCCAGTTGCTTCATCAGTGTGAATGATACAATAAAATATTACAATGTGAGTTTAGAGAAAATTAGTGTGAAATTCTGCCTAAGTGCCACATGAGCATAATTTTGTCTTCTAGGTTTTTTTTGCCCCCTCCCTGACTTTATTTCCCCTGATAATAAGCACCTTAGGTAATGTGTTCGTTAATATTTTAGTATGCTGTTAAACTGAGGTAAGTGCAGAGAAAGATTCTTGCTCTGGTTAAAATTTTATAAACTATAACTAGAAGGCACATGTAAAAGAACTAAGTTTGCTATCTGGCACATAGTAGATGTTTAATGATCTTTTTATTATAAAAAGCTACCAAATAAAAAGTTTTTGTCTGTAAGTTTGCTTTTCTGTCTAATATTTATGGGAGAGGGAAAATGTTCCTATGGTAATCACATGTTTTTAACTCAAAATTAATTCCGTTGGATTTTGTCTTGTGTTATGAAAGATGGTGACCGTTGTTCTCCAATTTTTTTGTAACTTCTGTAAACTCAACTTCCTCCATTATCATCTTTGAGGAATCAAACTGTTTAAGGTTTCTGGAGAATTACATATGGAAGGGATGTGTTTATTAAAGTAATTATTTCCAAATACGGGTGTCCCACAGTATCCGAATTTTTGCCATTCAGACTCTGGACCCAAATCCATTTGGATACATTTTCTAGATAGAGCTGTTGGTGGAAATAGTAACCCTCACTGTCCAAACCCACTGTCTGAAACTCGGGAATCTGCTAGAATCTGAGAGTCAGGGATACCTGTATTCCTATTAAAATTCTACCCTTCAGACATTTAATGTTGCATTCCATAGAAATACAGGACGTTCTGTCTGAAGTGGAATTGAGAGAAGTTTACAAGGTGTTCGGTTTATTATCATGTAAGGCTGCGAAGGGAATGTGTTTTAAACATATTGTTAAGCACCTGCCACATGCATGTCAATGTGTTTTGCCTCTGAAAGGCATACTAATGCTTACAGCCTTTCCAGTTGACCAGAGTAATTATATGCATCTTTGATTTTAAAAGAATAAGAAAATTTGAGTATTTAGTCTTGTTTAAATATTGTTTAAATTTTTGTAGTGAAAAATCTTTTCAAACACATGGGATCCACAGGGGAAGAATTAATATAAGAATCCTTAATGATGAGGATGCAATCAGTTTGTGTCATGAGGAGAGATGTGTCTCTTACTTGCCCTTGTAAACCTTCCTTGAGTATTGTAAATAATATCTAGCCTACACAGGAACCTTTTAATAATAATTCAGCTGGAAGGAAGCCCAGTCACCTTTATCACCAGGAGCTGTTTTGGTTGGCCTGCTGTGAGCCTTGCTCTTCTTAGCGGCTGGGGACTGCCTATGTGGCCATCCAGCCCCACTGCCAAGAATGACACCCCCAATAGGTAGACACAGAAATAAAATGACCGTGGGACAGTAAGACCTCTCCAGCTATCCAAATTATTTGGCCCTTCTCTTTTAAGGGATGACTTTTATCAAAGAAACACTGACAATATAAGCCAGAACTTTTCCATGCTTACATGAGGCCATGTAAGAGAGGCCATGCCAGACAACCTTAGTACTTTATAATTTCCACAGGGCAACCAGGTGATGCAGCGTTGACTTCTTACTAGCCCTTTAAAGTTCATGGATTGGTCCAGTGAACATCTGCCAACTTGTTACAAGTGTGCCAGAGATGTGCCTAAGTCGTTAAGGCACCACTCAACTCTTAAGAGTTTCAATTGGCAGTATTTAGACATTTAGGTATTTAGTGTATCTTAACCACCATCCTAATGTGTCTTTCAGGGGAAGGTATCTGATGTTCGACCTTTGGCTAAAACTTATATTTTGCTTACTCTGTACCAAACATATATTCCTAAATATATTAACTTATTTAATCTTCACAACAGCTTTATGAGTTAAATATTCATATTATGCCATTTTATAGATGAGATCCTAAATATATTAACTTATTTAATCTTCACAACAGCTTTATGAGTTAAATATTCATATTATGCCATTTTATAGATGAGAAAACTGAGACATGGAAATTTAAGGGACTTGCCCAAGTCACACAGCCAGTGTGAATCCAGACAGTTTGGCTCCACTAGCATTTTCTCAGAAATACTCTGTTTGTGTTATCATAATAGCTTTGTTCTGAAATGCTGAACACCTCTCTTCTAACTAGGGTAAAAGTTTGCCAAACTATTGAAAAGAGTCCTGTATTCTGATCCTAACACACACATTCAGGTAAAGTAATCCTCCTTCTGCCGTATGTTATTTACTTTCCAGTACAGGTTTCAGATCCACTTCATCTGTTTTTCTTTTTGAATACAATTCTCTGAAGCATTTCCCTGTTGTTAAATGCAAAGTAGCTGCCCCAGTGCTTCTGCTTATTTCTTTCACACGGTCTCTTTCCTCTTTCCAGAGTCAATGCATGTGTGGATGTCGTGCTCTCAGGGGTGAAGCTCCTGCAGGCACTGGGCCTGAACCCTGGGAACGGGGAAGATCACTCCATTCTGCATTCCAGGAACGATCTGAAAGAAGCCTTCATTCACTTCATGGGGAAGGGAGCAGCTGCTGAGCGCTTCTTCAGTGATGAGGACACTTTCCATGACATTGCCCAGACCGCGTCAGCATTTCCAGGAGCCCAGGTCTGTTTGGTTCACCAGTAGTAAATTAAGACAGGGTGGGAAAAGATACCCTTTTTGTATGGTTCCTAGAAGCAACCAAGCAACTTTTTCCTCCAGTTTGCCCCAAGAGAATGACTGTTGGGAATCCAATTCTGCAATGTTTTCTCTTTTTGTAAAGCTATGTATCTGCCCTTCCATTAACTGCCGTTTCTAGTCAGATCAATTCAGCCAAGATTTGTGAAGCACATGTACTAAAATTTTGGTTCTGGTTCATCCATTAAAATGCTGTCTTTTCATGTTACTCAAGTTTAAAGTAGGAAAGATACCTACTAACTTGTTTGCGTATTGCTGTGGCTGATAACTTGCAGTAATCTTAACATGGCCTAGTCCTTCCTGAGAAGAAAAAGGCCAGATACACTGGGAACTAGGTCCTGCCGTTGCCTGGGAAAGCAGGAGCTGGGGCCTCACCTCCGTGCTGCTGGTCCAGAGCAAGGTTTCTCAGCCTCAGCACTATTGATGTTCTGTGCTAGGTGATTCTTTGTTGTGGGGGCTTTCCTGCACGTTGTAAGATGTTTAGCAGTATCTCTGGCCTCTACCCACTAGATAACAGTAGCACTCTCCCTTTTCCCCAAATCTGGACAGTTAAAAATGTTTCCAGGGTGGGAGAGAGGAGGGAAGCAGTCACCCAGGTTGGAATTGCAGGTCTCAATTGGTGGTTCTCAGACTTGAGCACTTGCATCAGAATCATTTGGAGGGGGTACTGAAACACAGATTCCTGGGCCACACTCCCAGAGTTTCTGATTCATTGTATGTAGGGTGGGACCCAAGTATTTACCCTTCCTGCAAGTTTCCTGGTTATATTGATGCTGAGCACCTTGTTTTGAGAACCTATCAGAGAACTAGGGGACCCCAAGCCCACCTGGTGATTGTAAACAAAGCCCTGCCTTGATCCTGCATTTTGTTTCAAGGGTAGAACCTATCAGAACTAGGGGACCCCAAGCCCACTTGGTGATTGCGAACAAAGCCCTGCCTTGATCCTGCATTTTGTTTCATAATGCAAAAAAAAAAAAAAAAAATTCTGCAGAAACTTTAGCTTTTAGATCATCCAAATTATTTCTTAACATTGTAAAACCTAAAATGTGTATTATTTATCTTCCATTAGAGTGACACTTTATTTGGTGCTTTTTCAAACTCCCTTAAAGTATAAGGCAGATTGACTGATAAACAGAAGTTAATAACTATTATAAGAAAACGTTAAAACCATTTCATAGAATCTTAATAGTTTCCCTCAAATATTTAGTAAATTCCAGCCATCATAGTTAAATAAGAAATTAAAGCTAACATGTTAAAAGGCCAAATATCAGCCTATGTAGAAAGCTGTTACTGTCCCACCTGAACCCAATGATTGGTTGACACAAACCTTGGGGTGAAAGTGATGTCTAGCATCTAGAATTGAATTATTTATTTAGTCTGTGCTTCTGTGAGGCTGAGGACTAGGAAGCTGAGGTTGTAGCATTCCACCTACCTAAGACTATTGATGAGGCTTCTCGAGAAGCTTTTATAATAGAACATCAACCTCGTCTTCTACTTGTCGGGTTTCTAAAGCACATGAACCCATTTTTAGTCAGCAACTTGGAATACTAGCCTTGAATTACCTGTCCTCCTCCTCTAGGTTGTCAGCTGAGAGATGTGGTGTTTAAGAGATAATATTGTCCTAGATGAGGGCCCATTACCTTTCAGATTTACTCCTAGGAAAGCCTTTGTGTTTCCTAACACATCAACGTGTTTCTTCTTTCCTCAAAATTTAGCAACAAATATTTGCTAAGTACTTTAGTGTAAAAAAAAGACAGTCTCTGCCCTGACGGAGCTAGACATGTGCTCACATGATAATAACCCAAGTGGACAGGGTTTTTAGTAGGGGTTTGTTCAGAGTATAGGAGTAGCAAGGGATCTATAATCCTGTCTGGAGGCTGGGATGGCAGTGGGAAAAGGGGAACAGAAGGCAATGTGGAGGAGGGGGCAGTACAGCAGATTCTTGAGAAGTGATCAGGGATTTACCACTGTATGAGAAGGACAAGCATCCTAATGAAACCAAAATTGTGTGCTAAAGGCACAGAGAGGAAGGCAGACTTGGAGAACTGCAAGCATGATGTGGAAGGGATGGGCAGGAGATGAAGGTTGAAAGGAGAGCAAGGGCAGATAAAGGCCTGTGTGCCTCACTTAGGAGTTGGATTTTAGTTCATTATAGTATTTATTGAGTGATTTTCAGGAGAAGAGTGACACAATTATATACTCATTTTAGAAAGATTATAGTGTAGGGGATGAGATCTCTGCACACTTGTCATATTTCCTTTATCTGTTCTGCCTTCCTGAAAGCTCAAGGCTGAATTTGACCTACGGTTAAGGCAATTATATTGATTTCCTTGGTTAGCATGTTTGTTTTCTTCACTTTTCCTTATAACTCACTGTTTGTTAACCTGTGGATTTAATGTTTTATTAACCTCATCTGTGTATCTTTCTAAAGTCACCTCAAATTTTTTTGGAAAAAAACAGTATAAATTAATTCAATAAATTAAAAATTTTACACTTGGGTAACATAGCTGTGCTAAAATACTGTCTTATAACCTTAAACTATCTTACAGCACTATGTAGGAGGAAATGCAGCTTTAATTGGACAGAAATTTGCAGCCAATTCAGATTTAAAGGTAGGTCAAATTCCCAGATTAAAACCTGTGCCTTTTTCAGTTATTTTAGGAGCAAGGATGAATATCTGTTTCTTGATTCAACTTACGGACCACCTACTATGTGCCAGAACCTGGGCCTCATTTAGGAGGTAAAACAGTAATAGTAGGAGAGTAGTGGCAGCTGATGCTTCTTCCTGAGTGCTTACCATATGCCTTTCTGTATATTACCTCATTTAATCCTTGCGACAGCCTCTAAGGTGAATCAATACTGTTGTTGGTACTGTTACTGTCCTTCCACATGAAGTTTGAGGCAAAAAGCAGTCTAATAGCTAATAAGAAATGAAACTATTCTGACTTAGGACCCTGGAGTCCACGTTCTTAAGTACTGTTCGTGTAATGGTTAAGAGCATTTGGGCTCTGGAGTCAGTGCCGGAGATTGGGGATTATACACCGATGATGGCCTTGGTAGGGGATTGAGGAAAGAAAAAGGGTATCTGTTACTCAGTCCTCACAACAGTCTGTTGAAGTAAGGTATTATCACCTTTTTAAAGATGAGAAAACAGGTTAACTAATGTGCCTAAGGTCACCTAGCCAGTAAATGTTGGAGCCAGGATTCAAATGCCAGGCTCTGCCATGACCTCATTACCCTGTACTGCTCTCAGATTCAGTTTAACTTGCCAAAGTGCTTCTCATCGTGGACTGAGTGATCATCTGAGAACTACCAGTGATTAAGAACTAGGTATTTTCCAAAGGTAATAATAATAATAATAGCTAAGATTTACATAGGCTTTACTATATGCCAGGTACTCTTTCAAGTACTCTACATATCTATATTAATTCATTTAATACTCATAATACCCTATAAGGGAAGTCCTGTTATTATCTCCATTTTGTAGATAGGAAAAACGAGGCATGGAGAAGTTAAAACTGTTCAAGGTCACATACCTAGTAAGAGGTAGAACTGGGGTTTGAACCCTAGTAGTCTGGTTCCAGAGTCCATACTTTCAACAACTGTGCTATATTGTGTCTCAGAAATAGATCCTGGTGAATATAGCAAAGGCATATTTAGCACAATAGTGGAATAGAAGCCAGATTACAGGAGGGCAGAAAAATATTTAGAAAACATTTTTATGGAACTTTGCCAAGAATTAAGAGTAAATGTTGAGTTTTGTCAAATGCTATTTCTGCATCTGTTGAGATGATTGTATGAGTTTTGTTTTTTAGTTCGATATATGGTAATTAAGTAATTACATTGATTTTCAAATAATAAACCAACCTTGCATCCCTGAGATAAACCCCACTTGGTTCTGATGTATTATCCTTTTTATATATTATTGGGTTCAATTTACTAAAATTTTGTTTTAGATTTTAATGTCAATTTCCAAGAGGGATATTGGTCAGTATGTTCTTGTATGTCTGATTTGAGTGTCAGGGTAATAGGTCAGGGTAATACTGACCTTAGAAATGAGATGGGTAGTATTTCAGTTAAAAAAAAAAAAAAAAGAGTTTGTATAGAATTGGTATTGTACTTTCTTTTAATGTTTGTAGAATTCACCAGTGAAGCTCTTTAGGCTTGGAGTTTTTGATGTGAGGTTTTTAACGAAACTTTGATTTCTTTAATAGATACAGAGATTCAGATTTTCTATTTCTTGAGTGCACTTCAGTTGTTTAATGTCCATTTCATCAAAGTTGTTGAATTTACTGGCATAAAATTGATCATAATATTTTCTTATCCCTTTAAGAGCTTTAGAATCTGTAGTGAAGTTATCACTTATTTCTGATATTGGTAAATTATGTCTTTTCTTGATCAATTTGGCTAGAGGTTTATCAGTTTTATTGATCTTATCAATAAATGAGCTTTTGGTTTCATTGATTTTTCTCTTTTGTTTTTCTCTTTTCTATTTTATTGATTTCTGTTTACTTTGAATTTAACTTGCTCTTCTTTTTCTATTTTCTGAAGGTAGAAGGTCATTGATTTGGGACCTTCCATGTTTTCTAATAAAGAATGTTTAGTGCTATAAATTTCTCCTTAAGAACTGTTTTAGCTGCATCCTGCAGGTTTTGATACATTGTGTTTTTATTTTCATTTAGTTTAAATACTTTCTAATTTCCTTTTGATTTCTTGAGATGAGCTGTTTAATTTTAATAGCCCATTCATGGACTACTTAAGAATAGAAGTGTGCTATTTAGTTTCTAAATGTTTGGGTGTTTTCCCTGATATCTTTCTGTTATTGATTTCTATTTCAAATCTATTGTGGTCAAAGAATATGCTTCCCTGACTCCTGTTAAATTTATTGAGACTTTTTAAGGTCTCAGAATATAGTTTATCTTGGTGAAGTTCCATGCGCATTTGAAAAGCATGTATATTCTACTAGATGTCAATTAGGCTACGCTGGTTAATAGTGTTGTTCACGTCTTCTATAGTCTTATTGATTTTCTGTCTACTTGACTTATCCATTATTGAGAGGAGTAATGACATTTTCAGCTATAATTGTGGATTTATTTCCTTTGCAGTTCTACAACTTTTTGTTCCATGTATGTTTAAGCTCTGTTATTAGGTGCATTACTGTTGAGTATTTTATGTCTCCTTCATGAATTGACTCCTTTATCATTATCAGGGATAAAGAAAATCATTTTATAATATTCTTTGCTCTAAAATTTATCTTTATTAAAATAGACATTCCAGCTTTCTTTTAGTGTTATTATGATATCTTTTTCTAGCCTTCTGCTTTTAACCTATTTTTGTCTATATTTAAAACAGATTTCGTATAGGCAGCATATAATTGGGGCTTGCTTTTTAATATACTTTTGACAACCTCTGTCTTTTAATTGGAGTGTTTAGACCATTTACATTTAATGTAATTGTTGCTATATCAAGTTAGGTTGAAATCTGACATCTTGCAATTTTTTTTTTATTTGTCTCACCTCTTTATCTTCCCTTTTCCCTCTTTATGAACTTTTTTGGATTATTTTCTATGATTTCATATTATCTTCTCTGGTTTATTAGCTATAATTCTTTGTTTTGTTATTTTAGTGATTGCCTAAGGGTTTATAATGTACATTTTTAGCTTATCACAGTCTGCTTTCAAGTGCTGTTAATATACCATCACATAGAATGTAAGAACTTTACAACAGTGTGCTTCCATTTCTCCCCTCTGGTCTTTATGCTATTATTGCCATATAGTTTACTTTTACATATCTTATAAATCTCACACTATGTTGTTAATATTTTTCTTTAAGCAGCTAATTATCTTTTAAGGGGATTTAAATAATAAAAAAGAGATCTTTTTACTTATCCAGAGCTTACCATTTCTGGTGCTTTTCATTCCTTTGTTTAGAGCTATATTTTCATCTAGTATCATTTTCCTTCCACCTGGAGGATTTCCTTTCATATTTCTTGTCATGCAGATCTGCTGGTGATGAATTTTTTCAAAATTGTATATCTGAAAACTTTTAAATAATTTGCTGAGGTATTTGTAGGGTTTCGATTTTTTCTGTTTCTTAGGAACACTGTCCTTTGTTGCCCATTGTCCAAATGTTTTGAAAACCATTGTTTTATATATTTTATCTGTTTTTTGTTGTTATTTCAGACAGAAAGGTAAACTAGGCCTTATTATCTCATCTTGGAAGCTGTAATTCTAGCCAAGAATTAGAGAAAAAATAAAATACAGTGGTCAAGGCAAGACTTTTCAGAATTAGCAAATAATGGGTATGTGTCAAGGCAGAAAGGGAAGAGAGGTACATTTTTACCTAGAAGCTGGGATTTCTCAAATACATAAAAGTACCTCTGTACAAACAGGCAGTTAATGAGCAGTAAAAATGCCTTTGAAGCTTCTGGGTGGGACATGTTAAATCTGAAATGGTGTTGTGTTCCTTTAAATTCTGGTTCAAGCCCTCATCATTCAGTGATTTGGGGTCCACAATCACTAGCCTGGTCCTTAGTGTGTTCCAGAGCTGGCACTGTAGAAACCAGCAGTACGAAATGGCTTCTAGAAGGAATAGCCAGGAAGAGGCTCTCGGATTGGAGGTGAAGAAAAGGTTTTGGAAAACTTGCAAAGTACCTTCCCCCAAGCTTTCTGATTTGAGGTGCTCTCTAACTCTCACATTTGGAAGGCTATCTAGTTCCCATAACAGCTAAGTATAGTAGAGAGCCAGATTCCACAAATCAGGTCACCTGGTTGTGTAGTGTATTGTGATCCTGAGGTTCTTTGCTATACTGTGTAAATTTTAAACAGTTGTTTTCATCTGGCAACTATGAGGAAACAACATCCGGTGTCTGTTTACCTACACAGGATATGAGTGAGTAAAGAAAAGAAAAGAGGATAGGGTGTGTCTTAGTCGGCTTGGGCTGCCATAATAACAAAATGCCACAGACTGGATGGCTTAAACAACAAAAATTTATTTTCTCACAGTTTGGAGGCTGGAAAGTCCAAGATCAAGGTTCCAGCAGGGTTCAGTTTTTGGCAAGGGCTCTCTTCCTTCCAAACCAGATAACTGCCTTTTTTGCCATGTCCTCACATATGGCCATTCTTCTGTGTTATCTGGTGGAGATCTTCCTTTTCTTCTACTGGATTAGGACCTCGCTTGTATGACTTCATTTAACCTTAATTACCTCCTAAAAGCTCTATCTCTAACTATCATCACATTGGCAGTTAGACTTCAACATGTGAATTTTGAGGGGACACAAATTCAGTCCCTAACAAGGTTGTGAGATACAGCAGCTGCATAGATGCCTTACATGTGTGACATACATGGGTCTTTTGTCAGCCTTTCAATTCTGGATACATTGTGGCCACATGATTGCAGGACCTAAACCCTGGTAATAGCCCCTCTACTATATTATTCCAAACCAGAAACTTCCAAAATTAGATTGGGATTCTAGTATTTTTTAAAATTAAAAGAAGTGGCCTGGGTGTACCTTTTCTGTTATTATCCATATTGCATGGAAAAGGGGACAGATCTGATAGACTTCATATTTCTCGTCTCCAGGTTCTTCTTTGTGGTCCAGTTGGTCCAAAACTGCATGAACTTCTTGATGACAATGTATTTGTTCCACCAGAGTCGCTGCAGGAAGTGGACGAGTTCCACCTCATTTTAGAGTATCAGGCAGGTAAGAGAGATGAGTAAGTAATGGTGTAAGACTCATCAGGGACCGCGCATTGTTAGACTGAGGTGTGACTGTGCTAGAAATTTATCTTTTTAAATTAGAAATTTATCTTTTTAAATTTATCTTTTCAAAATGTGTTCTTGCCTTAACAAAGGTTTCTTGACCTCTGGTTCTGTTGTGCTGATACTGTCCAGAGTGTTACAACACCGAAGAAAATTCCCAGGTATACAAATGGAATGGATCTAAACCCAAAAGAAATCGGGCTGTAGGAAAGTAGGCATCCTGAATAAATGAAAATGTTTTACACGTATAAAGTTTTTCTTTACTCTAAGGAAAGACAAAAGCAGATAACATCTGCTCAACTCTGGGCTGGATTCTGCCCTGAGCCTTTCTGGCCAACTGTTCCAAGCTGTTTAGGATTGATTTTAGGCCTCTGGAAAACTTTCTATGAAGCATTTTGTTTTCCCTTGGATGTGTAAGTGAAAGTATTTTGTATTTAACAACACTTATATTATTTCCCATTATATAATGTTTCAATGTTTATCACTCCAAACCACCCCATCCCAATAGATTTTATGTGTTACACAGACTGCAGATCTGATTCCTGAGAGAATCCTAAATACCTGACCATAATTTGATCCCGTTTATTCTGTGTATTTGCTGTGGTATCTTTCCTCTGCTCAGAAGTGATACTCTTGGATTTCTGATTCAATGTGCTAATTCAAGTAAAAGACTCAAGCATCTAAACAGACTAATTGGTACCTTACAGCAGTACGTAATGTGCTTCAGTGAACTGCTTCCAAGTCAGACAATTAAGAGAACCTCACCTAGTAGAGTAATTAATGTAAGATATGAAATATAGTGTTTCTTGAAAATTATGCCTTTCTCTAAGTTCAAAAAAGAATTGTTTCTTGTTTCTGATTCTCTTTTTGGTGCTTGCTACATCAGTCTGGAAGTTAGGAAGAGCAGGGTCTGAAAATTAGGAACAGAATGTTGGAGTAGGTATTTAATGATATACTGGTTTGAGTTTCTCTCAGTTTTAGTTTCCCCAAATGAGAAATCAGAGTGATAGTTCTCACTGCCTAAAGATTAAAAGGTTAGTGTGTTTAAGCACTGTGGGCTGCTTAAATGAAAGGCATGAACAAGACTTGACTGGAAGGGTCTAGAATAGCTAAAGATGTGCCTTTGATGTGCTGCTGATACTGCTCCCGCCCCAGATGGGTCTCGCTTCTGTTTCTGTTGGTGCTCATGTCATGGACTTGGGGCCTTGCTAGTTCCTGGTTGCTATCATTTTTATTATCTGTTGTCCCTGGTGACAACAGAGTGGAAAGACTGGTTTCCTCACTGAGACTGCTCTTATATTTGACAGATGTGCCTGGTGTGTAGTTGAGGATGGCACAGCTTATCTTGAAAAGAGATTGCATCTATCCTTGGGTTTAGAAGCTTCACACTTCAGTTTTCCTTTTCTTGGCTGTGTTTTCTTAGTTCAAAGTAGTGGCCTTTTATTAAACTCTATAGGGAGAACCTAGTCTGGTGGTAGCAGCCCTCGGGTCACCTCTCTTGACAAATGCATCCACCCCTTGCTTCTCTCTAACCTAGATGAATAAATTCCCAGAGTGGATTTGTCAACTATTTTTCTTCTTCCTCTCTTACCAGACTTCTCTAGAGAAGCTTATTTTCAGGCTTTGGGCTAGGGATCCAGTAAGTCACTACGTAGGTTTTGCTGACTTAGCGGCTGAAGGGCAGGATGATAAATTGAGAGAATGGATCACTTAAAGAAATAAATTTAAAGCTTCGTGAGAAAAGAGAGGCATTGACTCTTAATAGGGGCTCACCCTGTCTGAGTTTTGGTCATTTTGCTTCTCAGGCCATCCCATCAGTCCTGTGTCAGCAGCTGTCCACATCCTTCCGTGTCTTCACATTGCAGAAGCCTGTTTATTTTTGCCTCTCTCACTTTTTCCCTGGAAGAATTGATTTATTTTGAATGCTGTGTGGCTCTTTTTTCCTAGGTTAAGATAAGCAGTGCTTCTTCTAGCAGCCTCACTCCTAAAGGGC